AAGATAATAAACACATAATAAACAGATAATAAATGCATAATAAATATGACGGGTCAGTGGTGATGCATAATAAATGCGACATATATGCCGACGTGACTTATATGTTTTTTTTCCTCTTCATGATGCTTTTTTTGACTGATGCAACTTTTACTCTGGAGCGACTTATATGCTGGAAAATACGGTAATCGTTGCAGATAAGTGCATCAGGTGGAGGCATAAAACAGATGCCTTGCTTTCTACTAATCCATTAGGCTACTCTAGAAAGGGCTTAGGTGGTTTTTTAATTTTGTTTCCAGTTCTTCCTCTCAGAGTTCAGACGTGTTTTCTTTCTCCTCAGCCTTGTGTGCAGATCCAGAGTCCTGCTGAGGAGGTGCACTGTCAGGCCTGCGTATCGGGGAGCTTTTCTGATGCACTGGACTCTGAACTCTGCCGTCCACACACGTCCTGCGAGCACCTCGGCAGAAAGCTTGCAGTCTCTGGCACCTGGAGCTCAGACTCGGTCTGTGGCGGCTGTCTGCCTGGGTAAGAATGGTCTGCTGGTGTCTCTTTAGACCAGGGATCTGCAACCTGCGGCTCTGGAGCCACATGCGGCTCTTGGGTCCCTCTGTAGCGGCTCTTTCAAGCTTTGACCAACATAAAACTGAATTTTATTGTTCATACAAACAACAAAAATGTACTAGTTTTAGCTGTTTTCATTTCTTTTGCAAATACTCACTTTAACTTTTTGCTTTATTTCTATACTTTTTAAAAAAATTGCATAGATCTGCAGTCATAGTTTTATTTTTATTTTTTTTTGATTATTTAAAAACAACTTTCCCCCTCTTTACAAGAATCTGGTCTTTTCATTTGTTTTAAATTGTAAAAATATCAATAAATGTTAAAAATCATTAGATATTTTTATAATGTCACCCGTACTGACCACAAAAATCTCCTCCAAAAAAACCTAAAGTGGCCCATGGGCCACCAGTTGATAATCACTGTTGCAGCAGGTTGTTGCAGCTCTGAACACTTTTAATTTAGTGAACGAAGGTGTAAAAATGACTCTTTTGATCATAAAGGTTGCAGAACCCTGCTTTAGACTCTTTAATTCAAGTTTCTTTACTGTCATTCACATCACATGTGGTACATGAGGTGGAACAAAACTGTGTACTCAAGGTCCCAGTTACATCCAACAATATCAAAAATATAAAGTATAAAGAGAAACAGTATATAAGGATCTAGGATATACTTATAATGTAATATAATACAGTATATTAAACAGCAGCCTGAACATGAGCCTTCAGTGTTTCATCCTGTTTGGTGATCTGAGCAACAGATCTGAGCTTCGACAGCTCCTGAACTTTTGCCCTGAAGAAGACTTGAGTATTTTTTCAGGACAAAATAAAACAGAAATTCGTGTATAATTCAGTATTTATTCACAACGATTGGAGCACAGCTACGTTGGTCCATTTACCCATCTCTCTCCATTCATGAACTTTTCTGTTCTCCCCCATCATCTGTAGGTTTCACTTCTCAGTCAAAGAACAAACTTCCAGCCAAAGACCCTGTGTGAAAAGTAAGCTTCTCTTCATTTGTTCTGTAAAAAGGATAAGACCATTCCCTGTGTTTGGGTTTGTTTCACTCGCTGCTGAAGACAACGATGGAGCCGGAGTGATTTTGACTTTGTCCGAGCGTGTCGTCAACGGATCAACTTTACAGGTCAACTTGATTCAAGATGGCCGCCACAGCTGATCAAACACTAACATGGCTGGAACTCAGTCAGTTTTACAGATGTTGAGCTAAAACCTGCCGTGGTAGTAGCTGAGAGTCATCCCTATTTTTCTCCTGTCCTTTATTTTCCGAGCAGATGTTCACGTCAGAGCGGTCCGCACGGTGGACAAAGGCCCGTCGGGAGGAACAGGAGGACCGGCCAACAGCACGGTGGTGCGCAGCGCCGAGGAGAAGACAGCAGAGTACGCCGTCTTTGCTCTGGTGCCTGTCTTCTGCATAATGGGCCTGATGGGGATCCTCATCTGCAACATCCTGAAGAAGAAGGGATACAACTGCACCGCTGAGAAGGAGGGAGGAGACGAAGAGAGTGCCACACCCCAGAAGGAAGGTGAGGAAGATGGAGAAGAAATACCTTGAAGTACTAATACATACCACCCACTACTTTTAGGACTGCGTTATCTTCCGGGGCCTGAGATGGGGTAGAGGTAGGGCAGCTGACCTGGGACCAGAAACTTGTGGTTCGACCCCCAGCCATGCCCACGTGTTGTGGTGTCTCTGAGCAAGACACATCCCAACTGCTCCCCAGGTGCTTACACAGCTGCCCACTGCTCCACCTGGGAGTAGCTCAGCTGTGATGGATTCAATGATGACAGCCTTAGATTTATGTGCAGTAGCACATTTGAAGCAACTGAGGTTCACCAAAGTGTTGTACAGTCATCAGGATCTTGCAAAGCAAAGGGAGGTCTTTTATCCACCACCAAGTGCAAAGGGCGGAGCCAGGGGGTAGCTAATGGTGGCCATGGCCGTCAAAGATTAATTGTCAGCTACCCCACAGACCACCCCAATCATTTGAGGAAAATAAGACCTTTCAGCAACATAAAAACTACAAGGCATAGTTCCCTCAAATGATAGGGTGGCTGGTTTACACACACACACGCACACATACGCACACATATATATATGGTGGTGGCCATCTTGGACGTGGCAACCTCGTTTACACAAGGAACCCCTCTTACACCGAAATGCAGCCACACACCAAAATGGAAGTCGTTGCCTCACTTGTTTTTCAAATTATCTCGTTCACAACACAGAGAGACGGATGGAGAGAGGGTTTGTCTGTTTTCTCTCAGCACAGCTTGACTTCATTTTCTTTCCTACAGCAGTGTAACTTAAAGTGTTTTAAAAAGATAAACATGAAATATAAGTTTAAGAGGGGCAAACAATACCAAATTAAAAGCTACAGATACCCAAAGGATTTCCAAATATGACTGTTCAATAAGATCAATCGAAATAATCGCCAAATGAAGTCAGAGAACTTGTTTGAAATGAAAGATTTCATGCAGCAGTGAGGTTTTTGCTTTTTTTTTTAGTTCTGGGGGAACTTCCTGAAGTCCTTCACTTCACTTTTTCTCCTCTTCATTGAGCCAGTCTACCCCCCCCCCATTTGAACACAACACCATCCATCCATCTCTCATTTCTCAGCCAGATCAATTATTAAAGTGGCTCCTGAGCTCTCTGTTACTGTCTTCTGTTTCATTTGTCTCTCCTGTGACTCAGTGCTGTCTGCTCTCGTCTCTGCTTCAGTCCGTTTTGTTTGTTTGTTTGTTTGTTTGTTTGTTTGTTTGCTGCATACCCAGGTTTCAGGGACTAAAGTTAATGATAACTGAAAAACAAAATTTGACAGATGTTCAGTTAAAACTTCATGTGGCAGTACTAAAAGTCTTTCATGTCACATATTTTGTGTGACACACTGAAGGAGTTTGCACATGACGTTGCAGAACAACAGAATCATTTCTGATCATAAGACAACCATTCTCAAGGAGTAGGTGATAACGTCTTCATGGACTGCTCAGTCTTTAACGTTCCCCATCGTGGAGGGAAGAGGGGGAATTGGAAAATGCCCTTTATTCGTCTGTCCATCCGTCTGTTCACGTTGTGAGTGAAATAACTTGAAAAAAGTGCCGACTTCCTTTTGGTGTGTGGCTGCATCGAAGCGTAAGAAAGAATCCATTTGAAAAACCGAGTTGCCACATCAAAATACAAGATGGCTGCCGCCGTAGCTACCAGCCACCCCTATCATTTGAGAAAATTATGCTTTCTAGTTTTACATTGCTTAAAAATGTAGTTTCCATAAATGATTGCGGTGGGAGGTGGGGTAGCTGAAGAATAATCTGTGGTGGCCAAGGCCACCATTGTCCACCCCCTGGCTCCGCCATTGCACATGGTGGTGGAAAACTTGTTCTCTTTGCTCGCCAGGATCCATCACTCTGCTCCACCTTATACAAGAAAAGAAGAACTACCTCTCTTCTTATACATAAAGTAACTCCTCCTCACATGTATATCTTGCACCAAAACATTAAGGTTTGCTTGAATTCTCTGATCGGCTTCAGTTCAGAAATCCCTCATATCAAAAACTACAAACATGGGGACATCAGCATTCCGCTTGTTCAAACTGACTTCCTGTATTTCCAGAGCTGAAGTGTCTAAGGTGTCAGATGGACAGACTGCAGCGCAGCATTGAAAACATATATAATGAGACAGCCTTCCCTCCTTCATTCCCATTACTGCACACCGTCACTCAAACCCTTCGAGCAGACTGAGCTAATACGGTTAGAGGAACTTCTTGTTTCAGCACTTTGTCTCCACCGATGGGGGATGGTGGGGGAGACCCGAGAGGATAAATTACTGCCAGGCGAGCTTCGCTCTGCAGGCCTAAAATCAAACTGAATCAAGGTCCATCCATCCAGAGAAAGACTGGAGGCTGGCCCTGATGTGTTGGAGCACAGGGAAACTGAAACCAAGAGCCTCGTCGCTGCCAGCAGCAACCTCACCATGAACTCATGACTTTGTTTGAAGGAAAGAACGGAAGAGAAAGAGAGCCACTCTGTGGATCTGTTATCCTCACATGGCAACAGCCACTGTGGAGACGGAGCTATTGTTACGGCTCGACAACGGCCAGTGCTGCTGATGCAGAGAGACCGGAATAATACGCACAGCTCCACAGTGCACAGAGACACACTGTGACCCACAGACACACAGCGACTCTGTCACATCACTGTCAGCCGCAGCATAACTGCTGAGTGGTCCACCTCCCTGTGGCCTCCGCTCAGCTGCTTCATGCTGCTGTTCTATTATGGGATGGACCAGCTCTCGTGGAGGCACATCTATTCTAAGTTGCTGCTTGTACAAATGTCCCAACAGTCGTCCACGCAAACGTTCTGTTTTGGGAAAGCTGGGCTTTATGTAAAATGAGACTAAATAATGGAGTAATCACACTCAGCATGCCACACCTTCAAAACTGTATAACATTTAAGGCATTTAAGATGAAAATGATTCAAGAAGACAATGATAGAAACAATATGGCTGCATTTATTATGTTATTGTTTGTCTTTTTATCTTTCTGTAGGTAACAGCTGCCCTTACATTTCTGATGACCTGAATGAAGACACCATCAGCGTTCTGGTCCGCCTCATAACTGAGAAGAAAGGTAAAGGACAAACCTTCATTTACGAGCCGAAGTTGTGGGAAACATTTAAGCTATTTCGGCTTTAATTAGCCAAAGAGTCTTGATGGCATTTTACACCCATGTTGTTGCAGCCCAAGTGGCGTATGAACTGCATGAGAAGAGAAAATAGAGCCAAGATCAACAGAAATGTTAAAGCTGCTGCCAGTGGCTCAGTGTTGGTCACCATGGTAACCACATGTATGTGTCTGTCGCTCCCTGACTGCCGAGTTAATGAGACGCAGACTGCGAACAATGCTTAAAAAAATCAGCTACTGTGTAAAAACTACAAGTCAGATCTTTGACATTCTTAAACAGTGAGTGACAGAAGACTCTGACGGTCACACACGGGTTGTTTTTATATTTCTACAGTGTTTTATACAGTGGCCCTAAGGTGTAAATGAACAACATTTGAAAAAACAGAATTACATTAAGCCAAAGTGGAAGTGGTCAAAGCGGAAGTGGCAAAAGCGGAAATGGCCAAAGCGGAAGTGGCCAGAATCAAATTTGCAAAAAATGGAATTACTTTTGAAAAAACTGAATTGCATAGAGCCAAACTGAAAGTGGTGTGTATACCCTACATTAACAACAAAGTCCATGCTCAATAATTCAGGTATACAATCCAACAATTTTCAGTCAGGTCATCTGGACAGTTTCTTTTTTTTTTTTGTGCTGAAACGTTTCACCTTCCATCTAGAAGGCTTCATCAGTCAAGGAAACACACAACACAAAACTGATTCTTCCCCCAACAGCTTACTCCAAAGTGTACCCTACATTGTTCTGTTGTTCTGTTTTATGTTGTTAATAAAGTAAAAACACACACACACAAACACCCCTTCCAGTTTGGCTTAATGTAATTCCGTTTTTTCAAATGTGATTCCGGCCACTTCCGCTTTGGTCACTTCCACTTTGGTCACTTCCGCTTTGGTCACTTCCACTTTGGTCACTTCCACTTTGGCTCAGTGTAGTTCCGTTTTTTCAAATGTTGTGTTTTTTTTTTTTCAAATGTAATTCTGTTATTTCAAATGTTGTTCATTTACACTTTAGTGCCACCATAATGTGGTTTTTAAAAAACACTTCACTTCCAGTTTAGAGAAGAATATCATGAGCTACAAAATGACTGTATCTGTGAAAGCTTGGGTGCACTCTCTGCATTCTGTGGGAATTTGAGAGAAAACTCTGTCCTACAGCAGTGAGAGACACACTGGATGAAAGAAGACAGAAGTGCCCATGTTTTGATGTATAATTTGTATAAGTACCCAAAAGCTGTGTGAGTAGAGAGAGTTGATTGCAAAAGATTAGAAAACAAGCAAAAAGTTCGAGTGATCCATGGTCAGCTGTCCGTTGAATGTTCTGTGGAACAACTTCAACTGTGATTTCATGACAATGGTTAAAAATATCAACGTGCCACTTCGGACGTGGGATGTCCAACTTTCTGGGACTTGAACATTGAATGACGTTCCCTCTTTAAAGTACGCCCGAGCTGCAGATCTCTAAAGAGGATTACGTTTTTCCAAGTGTTTGCCCAAATCCCAGTGAGCTCCATTAGTTTTGTCTTACAGCTTATTTTGGTTCAAATTTAATTTACACGGTTTGACATACCACCACCACAAACTGTTGCACACTGTTCCCAGCCAAGCCATGTTCTCGTGTATACTTTGCATGTTTTATTTCAAAGCTGCATAAAAAGATACACTTTAGATTTAATCAAATAGTAACGAGGGTGATTCGATGCGTTTGCCTTGGCACCGTTAAATAAACTGCAGCTTTACAAACAGCGCAGTCGTGATACTCGTTTCCTGTTAGTTTTAATGTGTAGGTTTTCAGCTCAACTTGTTCATGGTCTGGTGACGTCATGAGAAAAGACTGATTCTTTTAATCCTCTGAGCTGCAACTACAGAAACGAATCATTCTCAGTGTGTTCCTTGTGATCAATAAATCCCATCGTGTGTTTCAGAGAATGCTGCAGCGCTGGAGGAACTGCTGCTCGAGTATGAGAGCAAACAGACGAGCAAAGCATCGTCAATCAAGTACGTAATCCATGAAGAAACACCCCCCCACACACACACACACACATCCTTTGCAATGCATGCATAGGGGTGTTGAACTCAGTTACCAAAAGGAGCCAAAATGTAAAAACTTTGTTGGAGCCACAGGCCACTTTCAGCTGATACATCAACTCGAGTCAGACACCTGATATCTTTTCTTGTTGCAGGTTCATGAACAAGAGTTTGATCTGTGTCACTTGACCTTCTGCTCACATCGCTCTTTCCACATCAGAATCAAAAATGACAGAATGATCCAGCCGTCTTTCTGGCTTCAAAGTTAGCCAGCTAGCAAGAGAAGTCTACACTAAATTATGCATTTATCAGTTTTTTAAAGAAAAAAAATTAGGAGATACAATATTTTACATTTAAATGATCATCTTGGGGAACCAGATTTGACCGCAGCTCTTGAGTTTATCATAAAATCTGAGGTCACAGACTCAGAGAACAGAGACGTCCTGATTCAAAGCCACCTCTGCACTCCTGACCTGTGTCAGGCTGTTTGTCCCGACTTGGTGTGAGGTTGCAGTCTGACGCCTGGCGGTGACTCAGGACCGACTGAGGCGTCCTCACATCTGTCGAGTCATAAACTGTAAACCTCCAGTCCGTCTCACCAGCTCTCTGGCTGTCACGTGGCTCGGAGCATTAAAACTTACACGATGGAGCGTAGCTGTGGTTGGCGGGTGGGTTGGAGCTTGCGTCTTTAAAGTCGTCCACATGGTTCAAATTTAACTCAACACGACCGTGAACAGGCCACAGAGCTTCTGCTTGTGCTTCCATGGTTGTTCTACAGTCAGACAGCTTGGAAAACTATATACATGTAAGTCAAGACAAGAAACGATGACTCGTGAATCATTTAAAACTTATTTCTATCTGACATGAAGTCATGAAGCATGACTGAATGTGCAGCAGCTTCACTCCTCAGTCAATAAGTCTGTTTAATTCCCAATAACCCTCGTGTGGAAGAAAGGAGGCAGTAAAAGTTTTGTTTTTCTGCTGGTCTGTCTGTTAGCAAAATAGCTCATAAATTCCTGGACAGAAAGAAATTGCTGGATGTGAATATATAACTGGTTAACTACGGAAGTCAATTTATTTAAAGATGGACTCCACAGCCAACAACCAGTGCACAGATAGGTACAGCTCAGTCAGTTTTACAGATGAGATGAAAGTGTGCTGGTAGCTGAGAATGATTAACAGCTGCGTTACCTGACTGTGTGGGATGTTTCATGGATTCATCGCGTGTGTTGAACATTATTTGCAAGATTTTATCCAACCTGCTCTATCTGTTGTTTCAAGACGATGTCAGTTTTAAACTGGCACGAAAGGCTGCGGGTGACGCGCACGCCTGCAAGGAATGTTAGGCCCTTGATTAAATATAAAACTACAAGTTACCTAAAACATAACAATTTATATCAAAGTTCACGCTCAATAATTCAGGTAAAAAAATCCAAATCCGTGGATTTTTTACCTGAATTATTGCGCATGAACTTTGATGTTTTGAATCACTTTGGCTATGGTTGCCTCAGAGAAGTCGACGGGGGAGAAGGTGGACTCCAGAAACCATCTTATCACCATCAAAATGGTTGGCCCACTACGTGAGTAAGCCACTTATGGGACTGAATTTGTTGTGGCTCCTCAGACTGACGAAGTCCTTTGGATGAAAGATGAAACGTTTCAACAGAAAGAAACCGTCCAGAGGATGTGACTTAATTTAGCTGCATAATGATTTATACTTCATGTAAACTGGTAAAGTAAAGTAAACTCTACTGGTTTTTAGAAAAATAAACTGAGTTTAAATGTTATGTTAGCAAAAACAAAAAAACCTTTGGTCACTCGGGAGACAAACGGCCTTAACGGGATCAGATCCTGGTAATGGGCTCTCGTTGGTTTCAGTTTTTATGTCACACAGACAATAGTGGGGAGGTCTCAACAGGACCACACACACACACACACACACACACACACACAGGTCCGAGAACATTCTGACACACATACACTCACTTGTATTTCTGGAAACGTTTCAAAAGCGCGCATGCATGTGTGTGTGTGTGTGGTTATATGGGCCCCCCCCACAAAGAGCTAGTACAATGTATGGCGAGGACACACAGCTACATTCCATTGTGTGTGCTTTCTTTATTACAGTATAATACTCACTGTACTGTGATAGTGAAAGTACATAAACGTTAACAAGCCCAGCTTCAGATGTCAGTTCTTACATTTCCACATTTAAACACAAAGAGTGTGTTTGTTTAACTCTTCGTCACTCAGTGCACAGAAAAGTTTCCAAACTTTCTTGTAAATGTGTGGCACTCGGACTTTGCTTAGTCTGCGAGAATCAGGAATGAGGCGTGCCAGGCTCTGTGCAAACGCACTCCCATGTGTTGTGTAGCTTTTTCAGAGCGCGTCCGCTTTAAAAACTGATGAGCTGCATGTCAACAGGCCGCTTTCTGCAAATAGCATTTCTGTTCTTCGTGTGCACCTGTCAGGAGTTGTGCAGCGTCTGGGTCACTGATCTGAGCTCAGAAAATGGTATTTTAGTGAATCCTGTTCTGAAACAGTTCTGAATGATTTCACACAAGCCCTGAGGGTGGATGAGAAGCAGCTGGGTTGTTGGCAGTCACCAACTTGTTGTGACTGGGTGTAACTTCAGGTTGCGACTGCTGGAGATTCACAAGAGTCTCCAAAATGTCACGAGGCAACATTCAGAACAGTCATGGAGTTGTGATGGACATCTAGAAACCTTCACAATTTCTTTATTTTTTTTCTTTATTTTGACTCCCGCATGAGAGCTGTTCTCACGACAGGAAGCAACAGAAACCTGAAAGTCCAGGTCTGGAGAACCACACGAAGGACAAACGACACCCATATGAAACAGGTTCAGGTGTGCTTGTCTTCGTGTCAGAGGTGGACTCTGTAAAACTGTAAGCATGGAGGCAACTGCCAGCGAGGGGGATATAATGTGGGTAGAGCTGGACAGGAAATAATGTCCCAACCTGGAATGCAGTTCTAAATCTCGCACGTGAAAATAGCCTTGGTTGTCAAAACAGGTCCCAGAATCACAAACAGTCAGAACCCAGTGAGACCACAGCAGAACATTCGACTCGGACCATCGCAGCAGAGAGACGCTGGCTATAAGAACCCAGACCCATTTCTACTTTCATGGAAATGATGGGGGTTGTAAATTATAACAAATGGATTATATGTAACACATTTCTAAAGTTTTTCTTTTAAATAACTCCACCTCCACAGATCTGAAATGTGACATGTGACATGTGTGACAATGTGACATGACACAATGGGCGTACGTAGTAAATTGATTCCGCATTTAGAAATATATTATCTAAACAGTTGTTTTGTCTTTATCACAGAATTTTCTTTTTATTTGCAACTTCTTAACATGTATGATGATCACAACATTGCTCAGTTTTGTTTAACAACTACTTATTTAAAAAAGTCTTATTGTGTCAAATATGGAGTTTTTTTGGTACAGTTTAGAGTTTATTGCCCGGTGTGACATTTATGTCACAACGATATTTGACAAACCCATTCTTTATCAAATTGTTTTAGAAATGCTATCAAACCAGGTTATATGTGAGCTATGACATGTTATCTAAGGATTAGCATCACTGAAACAGTGGAAACTCACCTTTGGTAAAAGAAAATAAAGTTTCTAAAACTACTTTAGTGGTCACCTTAGCTGCCCAGATGCACCAAGACTTTGAAAATGACATCATCAGTACCCAGAATCCCTCACTAGTCACATGACTGAATCAGGATGTTCAGTAGATGTCACTTAGGGACATGATGAGATAAAAGTCAATGTTAAACCTTAATAATAAACTTTTCTCAATTTTAAAAGGGCGGTGACACCAGTGTCCCCGTGGGTCCTTATTAAACTGAACCCATTTAGAAAATAAGACTTTTCTCATCCTCTGCTCTTCTCCCCCCATCCAGGTTTCCAATGCTGTCTCCACTGTCCACCTTCTGCTCCCTCCCCAGGCTTTGCCCCCACCACTCCCACCTCCACACCATCTCAGGCCTCTCTGGTTTGGCCCCCAGACACGGGTACCGCTGCTCTCGCTGCGCTCAGAGAAAATGGCCCCCTGTTCTCATTCCTCCCTTGGAGTCCTTCAAAGACCCAAAGAAGCCCCCACAGAGCCTTCTTCTGCCCTCCTTGGGTACCCCTACTGACCAGCTGAAGAACCCCCTCCTGGGGGGCGTCGTGCCAAAAACTGTAGTGGACCAAGTGGATGGGAGAGAGGAGAGGAAGGGTGAGGAGCTGACGGTGCTCTCTGTGGGGAGGTGAGTCCTGTTTGATGATCAGGAGCGATTTATTAAAACAATCACACGACACAGAATCATCCTTTACAACTGCATTAATACACAAGTTGAGCAATAAACACAACAAAAAGGGAAAGTCTCCAAAATATTTGAAATGTTTATAGTAAATAAAGTGGTGGTGCAGAGGTTAGAGAAGGAGCTCTCTGCTCCACACAGAGAGCTGTGGTTGTGTCAGGAAGTATTTGTGCGAGTTAATTCGCTGTGTCGACCCCTGAGGAAGAGAGCAGCCAAAAGAAGAAAAAAAAAAGGAATGAAAATCATTACCTACAAGAAAATACACTGCAGTAGTCCCTCGCTACTTCACAGTTCGTTTTTCGCGGACTCGCTCTATCACGGTTTTTCAAAGTAAGACCTGGACATGACACACGATGGCTGATTGATGGATGAGACGCACACATTTTTATTTAGAACTATTTTTTAATTATTTAGAATTTTTTAAAATTATTTAGCACCTGCTGCACCTTTGTGCAGCCCAGACTGCAGGAGAAGCTCCTTCCTGCAGCGTGTCATATCTCTGCTCTGCTGCGGAGAAGTGGGCGTGGCCGAGAGTGCAGCCGGAGGCAGAGAGCTGAGATCATGACATGCTGTGCTCTTTTAGAGCGTTTAGAGCTCAGTTGTTGGGAATATTGCAAGAGTGTGGGAAGGGTAAAAAAAAAAAAATATATATATATATATATATATATATATATATATATATATATATTTATATATATATATATAATATACTACTAACTACTTGTACAACTACTTTGCAGTTTTTCACTTATCGCGGGGCTTCAAGGTACAGCTCCTCTGCGATAAACGAGGGCCTACTGTATACTAAATCTGACCTAATATATGAGCACAAACGATACAAAATAAACCCAAATATGCATATATTTTAAAAAGGCTATATGGCAAATATTACAGGTTCATTGTTTACTCTGATCTGTGAAATATTAATTTAAGTCATTTAGTAGTAATTTAATTTTCTTCAGTCTATACAAGGATACAAGGATTTTTATTGCCATCCTCATCACATGTGGTACATGAGGTGGAACAAAACTATGTCCACAGGGTCCCAGTTACATCCAACAAAAATGCAAATTGTAAAGAAAAACATTAGCAAGATCCGAGTCATGAACTAAGAATTTACTACATTCGCTAAACTAAGAATACACTAAGCACTAATAGTACAAAAACAATGTGCCAAAAACAACAGCAGCACGAACATGAGTCTGTGTGAGCAGATGAAGACCAATGAACACAGCAACATGAAATAATCAGCAGCATGAGATCAGCAGCATGGATAGTTAACAGCACACATCAACAATCAAGTGGCATCACAGCGATTTTTTCATTGTTAGAGATTCATGAGTCTAACAGCCTCAGGGTAGAAGCTGTTCCTCAGCCTGGTGGTTCTACACTTAATGCTCCTCAACCTTCTGCCTGAAGGGAGCGGGGCAAAAAGTGTGTGTGCTGGATGAGTGGGGTCCTTCATGATGCAGGTGGCTCTCTTCCTGCATCTGGATAGATGTCTGTGATGGTGGGGAGACTGACTCCAACAGACTTCTGTGTATATATTTTAAGAATTTATATGTCTTTCATTTAAAAGTTTTTTCTGGATCAAGAGCAATTCAAAAAGTCGCATTGTTGTACAGTTACTAACACACAGCCTCCGGTAAAAAACAGCACATTTCATCATTTAGTAATAAAAAATGGAGCAAAAATGCAGAAGCAGTGTGCGAAACACACACACACACACAAAATAATTCAACAACTTACAGAACCATCTTTATTAATTTAATCTGCTGTATGAAGTATAAAATCTATTATATTGATGTAATATATGAAATGTACTTTAAATGATATTTCTGCTGCCAAACTGAGTTTTTCTGACTGTAACGATGGATATATGTTGGTCTTAACTCAAAGGTTTCAAGTTGCTCACATACCTGAGAACAAACCGGGTGCTTTGGAAACCAAGACCTGCACCCAGGAGAAGAGGAACTCCCTGTTTGCTGGAAAAACCTTCTCCTCCTCCTCCTCATCAGTTTTTAGGAGGTACGATATAACAAAATCACACCACTTTTCATTTACAACTCATTCGTGTTTAGATTCACGCCATGAATCATATCATGTCTTTAGTCAGCTTGTCGTTCACACTTTGCCGTTTTGCATTATCAGATGAAGAGAATGAAAGACGCTGCATGATGATGCTACCTCGTGGAAGAAGACCCGTCTCCTGATGACAGCTGTGACGCAGAGACGAAGGTGGTCTCATACGACTGAAAACTCGACCTCCTCCTGATGGAAGAAGGGAGTTTCTGCTTATGTGATGACAAGATGATAACTGTTATTGCATAAAAAAAAAATTTCAGAGGCGCTTTGCTGTCCTGATCCAAGCTGAAATGATTTTGGAGAAAGCCTATATCTCCATGCTGGACAGAAACATTTCAAAGCTTTGGGTGAACGTACAGCAGTGGTGCAAAAATATCAAATTACCGACAGTAATAAACCAAGCAGAATCCATCAGTAGTTCTGCCACAAAGAAGCAAATTGAACAAGATATGGCTATAAAAAAAAAAAGCTTATTTAAAACCAGACGTCAGAAATAAATCGAGTTTTCAGCGACAAAGTGCCTTCTGAATGTGGCACTTCCATGAATGTGTTTGTGCACTTTGAACTAAGCTGCTCCACTAATCTGACCTGTTGCTCAGGTTAAAACCTGCAGGTTAGATGAGTTTTAAGAGCAGCACAAACTTCACTAGATCTTTTAAACTTGAATCTGATTCCTCCATCTAATTTAGAGAGAGATTAAAAAGCAACTTGAACAATATTCATATGACAGCCTCAGTTAAATCCATATGAGGGGCCTGTGTGTCTCGTTAAGATCTGCTTGTTCTTTCGGTTTGTCAGATCCGTCATAATGTATCCCACACATGGGTAAAATATGCCAATCTGGCCTCAACGTCATCCAGCAAAAAAACAAATTGACCGAATAAGATTTGAGTTTAAAATATCCGGAGGCTGTTGCTTTTTACATCAGTTCAAAACAGAGAATATTGTCTGTTCCTTGTCTGGTTTGAAACAAACTAAGATGGCTGTTTTGAAAGAAAAAAAAAAGGAGCGGGAAAATAGCATTGTGTTGCATTTTTTTTAAACCAAAAATTGATGTTTAATCAATTCTTTAAGTGTTAGTTCACCAACAGTTTGCCTAATAAACTAAGGTAATCGTGTAGTACGACCAAGCGTGCGACTGCGATGGAAGCCTGTCATCATCAGGAAATTACAATGATTTACAAAGACATCAACAGAAACAGGCAGCAAATGTTGCTAAACAAGCTAAACAGAGCAGGAGTCACATTTCTCTGTTTCTCTACTCTCATATCTCTATTTTTGCAGATGATGTGATGTTTTATGATAGATCCTAGGTGGGACACTGCGTCCATGCATGGTCATTAAATCTATTTGAGTAAATATGTCGCTTTAGAGCAGGGGTGTCAAACTCACGTACAAAACAGGGCCAAATTTAAAACATTTCTCAAACTAAGGGCCAGTTTCAGAATCTACATTAGGTCAGGTTCGATACCAAATGTCTTTTCTTGGTTGCAGGTTCCTCAAAAAAGAGTTTGATTGGTCTCATTTGATGTTCTCTGTTGCACTTTTGACATCATAATCAAAGATTACTGGAAAAAAATGAAGTGATAAAAGTATTTCACAGTTAAAATAACATCTTGGGGACCAGATAAGATGTCAGCGAGGGCCACATTTAGCCCCCGGGCCTTGAGTTTGACACATATGCTTTAAAATAAATTGTTGCCCACTCTACTGATGTCAGGTTAACAAAGTTTTGTCTCTTAGGTGACAACTGTACAACTGACACTGTAATTATGATAAGTATGAGAGGCCCTTTAGGACAGATTAATCTTGTGTTTACACGTCTCAAGGAGCCTCTCATATGTTTCTGCTAAGTGTCATGTTCAGACAGAAGTAGTGACATCCACATCAAGCACCGACTTCAACGTGCTCCCGTGATCTTAAGGCAGTCTGGACAAGAGGACATTTTAAGTTACATTTCAAAATCACATCACTCCTTTTCTCTTCCTTGTGTTGTTAGACCTGTAATATTACAACCAGAGCCAAACGTTTCACTCTAATTTATCGTCCTGGATCACATAGCAGTCATTCTTCCTGGATATGGCATCACATCCAAGCATCTCTAACCCTGTGAATAATTTAAGGTGAACGAGGCCAGGATTCAAAATACAATTTCCATTTAAACCCTTGAACACTTGAAAGATTCAAAACCCCTGAAAGGGCAATGCATGAATTCATTTAGGTACTTTCAAGCTCTTAAATTTGACTCTTGTGTGAGCCAGATTTTAATTTAGAGTAGCTCCTTATGTTCGAGCGCAGCTGGCGTTTAAGCACCGTTCTGTTTTACAGGAACTGTTCAAAAAAGCTAAGCACATAGGAAGCTCTTGGTTTTACAGAACAAACGTGTAAATGAATGTAAATATGTAAATATGGAAGAGGACTGAAAACCAAACTTTTACTTTTATACCTTTAATACACAGAAAGTATGAGGGAAACAGTCTGCACTGCTGACTCTTTAAGCTGAAATGATAAATAAACTGAGTTTGTGATGCACTCGCCCCCGCTCCCATGAAACATGTCGTGTTTTTCCTCAGTAAACAAACATGGTCAGAGTCCACTTCTACAATCACTATAAGTTTAAGAAATGCTCAAAAACAGACTATTTTCTCGTTTTATGTAATTAGGAAACAAATGAGAGGCTGTTTGTTTTGCAGCTCATTTGATTCATATTTACATCCTGGTGAGTTTGAAAGTGTGCACGTTCATCACAGAGAGTTTTAACTTATTTGCTGAAGCGATTATTATGTTGATAAGAGGAAAATCTCAACGTTTGTAGAAACGAGGATATTTATTGGCTAAAGCCGCACTCACATGTTATCATTTGCTTTTTTTTTTCATCAATAATTGTTTTCATACTGACGTGTTGCTGCAGGAAACGTGTAAAAAAACATTCACATCAGATTTGTACCATTTATTTATATCAAACCACATCATATTATTTCATATTGCATTTATTTCTGTATCAGGTTTTTACTATTGAAATAAAAAGAGGTGTATTTTAAAATGGTTTGTTGTTCTTGTGTGTGTGTGAAAGATGCAAAATGTGAAGGCGTTTTTTTTTTCTGAATTATGTCCTACCTGGCATCCCACACACCTCTGAAAGTGTCACTTTGCCTTTTACCTTTTGCCCTCTAGTGGTTGATTTTGCAAACTGTGTTAATCTAATATGGATTACACAGATGGGATTACTTGATGTTACTTTTTCCTCAAATTAAAAATTTAAACGCTTCAGTTACTACAAAAGATGTATTTAGAGGTTGAGGTTTTTATTACAGTACAACAATTAACATAGTCCAAGGTACAATATGCAAATTATGTACAATACAAAATAAGTTTCTTTGTTGTTGGTTTCTTTGGTTTTTCATATTTTTTTAATGTAATTAGACACAAAAACACTTAAAAAGCAAGTGATATTGAAACTGCAGTGGATAAACAGACATGTCAGTGTTTTTTAATCTGGTACTGAGATTAAACTAAAGATTTAAAAGAGGTCAGCTTCTCACCCAGAAAATGTCAGCAGCAGAGAAATTATGAGTCCAGTTTTCACTGGTTAACGTACAAACATTACAAGCAGCCTCAGTTGCAGTATTAGTAATAATACCCATTTATAATGAATTATTTTTTGTTTTATAAAAATTGTAGCAAAAAAAATGTTATGGACAACTATCTTAAAATCTTGTTAAATTTATGGAAATCATCTTAAGCACATTTACTTGGTGTTTAATGACCTGTGCTTCAAGAACCACTGAGTTTAGAGGCGTCTTAGTTCTACAAACACACGTGACTGAAAACGTCTGTAAAATCTTGCCTAAAAACACTTATTTTTACCTTAACTGAGTTTTTTATCCTGCAGCAAAAATACTACATTGGTAACAAACCAAACATAAAAAACCCAACAGATTTCAAGCACAAAATAAATCATTTTAAAGTTATGATTTAACTTTATTCCACTGATCCTTCAATGTCAAATACTTTCGTTTTCTTACAGTAGTTCAGCCATGTCAACTTTACTATATCTACAACTTTATAGCGGAGTGCCTTCATCGAATTAAATTAAAGATTTTAATAAGAAAACAATCTACATCCTCTAAAATCTACGCAAAATCAATTTATTAAAAGACTGAAAAAAGAAAACTTGTGCACAGCGTGTAAAGCTGTGAATATAAATACTCCTCCTTCATAAAGAGGTTCCAGCTGTCAGGTGACTTCTTACTGCTCAACAACCTCAAACTACAGTTTAGATCCTTTAAAGTGGGGTTTTGTGGGAAGGTTATCAAACAGTTAATATCTTACCTGCTGCAGAAAGCTTTTAGCTTGGAGAAATAGTTCAACACTGACCAGACTGATGAGCGGATGGCTAGTCTATGTGGGACCACAAAATCAAAGTGGATCACTGCCGCCTTAAAACGGGTCCAGTCTTGAATGTTCCACAAAGATTCATGGGAATTTTACCTTATAAACTTTAACAAAAACTGCCAGTTTGCCATCACATGGCCCAGCAGAAATATTCTGATATTCCCGTCTGGAGGCGCTACAGCTAGCTTCTGCAGCCACGGTGTAAATAAATATAAAATAACTACTTTATATACTGCTTTGACACTACTCACTGTATTCACCCACTGACTTACAGATTGGGGACAAGCTTGGGTTCTGTTTTTTACTGGAGGCTGCTTTAGTATGTGATGGGGGAAGCTGGGATTGAACCACCAACTCTGAGTGGAAGACAACTGCTCTACTTCCTGCGCTACATCCACAGGAAGTAAATGGCAGCAATGATTTTTTATTAAAAAATGCATTAACACGAGACACTTTTATTTTGGAGAGTGAAGTGTTTTTAAGATGACAGCTGTTCACTTTGGTCCAGGTTTTGTGCGGACTAGCCGTTAGCTCTTCAATCAGAATTTAACAGGGTTTTTTTTTCCAAACTGAGTTCGTATAAAAAGTTATTTATAACAGCTAAGATATGATTTGTTCAAAACCTTTCTTCAGAAAGGTTCAGACTTTAGAACTGATAGTTGCTCTCGCTAGTGTTTCGTGGCGTTAAATATCCAGCACAATAAGTGCAGATCTTGTCCATGAAGCAGTAGCACTCCTGTAGATGGAGCCAGCTGCTGGATCAGAGTGATGGTGCTAATTATTGGCTCATAGGGTTTGGTTTCGGTGAGGACAGTTTGATTTTCTTGGTGAGGTTGCTGCGGGCGTCTTGCCCAGCCAGGAAGTAAAGGATGGGGTCCACGCAGCTGTTGGCGCTGGCTAAAGGTCGGGTCACCTTGTAGGCCACGCTGGTCGCCTCCAGCAATCTACAGCTGATCTGATGAACGCATAATAAACATCTTACACGTAGCTCTCAACGTTGGTGCAACGTATTAAAATGTGAGGAAGTCCGTACCTGCGACGGATCCACCTGCCTCAGGTATCTGATGGAGTAATAAAGACTCCTGGTGAGGTGGAATGGGAGGAAGCACAGCATGAACGCCGCCAGCACAATGATGATCATCTTCACTGACTTCTGCTTGGACCGGTGGGCTGTCAGGCCTCCCCTCGCACCTTCAGCTCCCCTGTCGGAGCCCCACCCGGGCTCTAGGAGCTTCCGCACCATGAGGCCGTAGCACACCATCACCACCATGAAGGGCAAGGCGAACATGAGCACCGACACGACGGAGCTGTACACCAGGAAGTCGTCGAAAAGCTCCGGGCTGGTGGTGTCGTAGCAGATGCGCTCAGTGTTCACATCTCTGAAGGAAAGAGCGAGAAACTGAAACATGTTAGAGAGCAGGGTGGCTGTTCAGTCAGAGGGACCGTCTGAGGCCCCGTGAGGTCGAGTACAGAGCAAAACAAGTAAATATAAAGGTTCTAATTACCTAGTCCTTACAAAGTAAAGGACAGGAGCCTGGCAGAATAAAACACAAGCCCACACTGCCACAGACACCAGCCGGGCCTGACGAGCGCTGACCCAGTTCAGGGAGCGGACCGGGTAGCAGATGCCAACAAACCGATGCAGACTGATGCAGCACAGGAACAGAATGGAACCTAACAGGAGGAGAAGGAGCCAGATGCATCATTTATACGATCACAGCAACGTTCACACACAGATGTTCAGGCAAGAGTTCTGTGCTAAAGTTTTAATCCATCTCTACTTTTGACGGACAGCAGACAGACGTTACAATCTTTCAAAATGATCTTTATCAGCAGGTTTTCATGTGTTCTGATTAAATTCGTTTCTTTTTTTTTTATTTGGCAGTTCCTCTTGTGGTTGTTGTTAGATTTTTGTAATCGTGTTTATTGTCTATGTTTAGTGAGTCTTATTTTTAGTTCTGCTTCTTGTGTTTTCATTTTATTAGTCACTGGGTGTTTGTGTCCCTTCTCCCTCAGGCAGTACTTTTCCAGTCAGCCTGCCATGCCCTTTTACCCCTGTCCCCTGTCTCATCAGTCACAGCTGCAGCCACTCTACTCATCACCCCCTGTCCTTACGGTCCCTTAGCTTCATTCATTCAACCTTTAGGTTAGTTCCCGTTGAGCCTCAGGGACTCATTTACAAGAGAGACCACTTGCTCTTGTCAAGGATGGATGCTTTCCCTCTCCTCTCCCTCCTCCTCTGCTTTGCTTTGCTCTGTCCTGTCTGTGAAACTGCTTCAGAGCATCTCTCTACATATTTTCCAAACCCTAATTTTTTTATATGGATCTGGTCAGTTGGTCTCTCGACGCAATTGATAAAATTTCCTCGACAAGAAGACAAGCTTCAGGCGAGCTGACTTTTCTGGACGAGAAAACAAGCGCCAAGAATGCAAATACAATTGGATTTATGATAACTGGTTTCCTGCTTTTTGGATTCGGCTGGTTCCTGGTCTACCAACAAACAAGGAAGTTGTCGGCAGCAAATTTGGCCCTGGTCAGACTGCTTGCATCTGTCCACTTAATCTGGACATTTGGGATTCGAGAAAACCAGCAAAGACTCAAGGCAGACAGGAATCAGTAAAGTTCTGCCTGTTCCCAAAATAATTGTTGCTTATCTGAACTTGGGTCCCCGGCTGGCCCTGAATGACTATTTTTCATTCAACCTTTATTTAGACAGATAAGTCACATTGAGCCTAGAAGACTCATTTACAAGTGAGATCTGTTTAGACAGACAAGAAGTAGTGAAACTGGACACATGTCGGAATTGGAGGCGAAAAAATTCCTATCAGACGTTTTTTTCCAGCCTGAGAAGAAAAAACTCTGATATTAAAAAACACCTCGCACAAACAAGCACATAGTGACATAGACATTCTGCAGGGGGGGAGGCGAGAGCAGTGAGCATGTCCATAGATGCTCTCGAGGACACTGTAAGAGTTCTGATAAGGATGTAATAATCAGCCTGTGTGCTCCGGTGAGATCCGTAAACATTCTCGAGGTATGTTAGGGAATGGCCAAGAATAACGACTATGAGAATCCAAGAGTCCTGAAATGATGACACAAAGTTTATTCAGCTGGTTTCATCTGGCTATCTTATCTCAATTCGCCTGGAGACACTGTAAATCAAGGCTCCGCCCCCTCCCTTCCCCTCCCACCAAGGAAGTCTGCGGACCTATCAGAGGGACCCGGCTGAATAAACATTGTGTCATCATTACAGGACTCTCGGATTCTCTCTGGTGCTGTTCCAGGTCGACCTCGGCATGAGAGAGTTTACACATCTCACCAGAGGGAACTGACTGATTGTACCATTCTTATCAGAACTCTTACTTTATGCATAGAAGGTCAACAAAGGTGTTGTCCATGGACACTCCAGAAAGTTCCATAGTTCTGATATAATGGTACAGCGTCTATCACTCTTCAGTCCACCATTGTTGCGCTCACACTTCCAGGTTATAATTCGTGTTCCCTGAAATGTGTTGTTGTTGTTTTTTTGCCACTAAGCCCTGAGGAAAACAGTTAGCCTAAAACTGTCTGTAGCTTCTGAGGTGACATTGTTAGCAGATAGCTTATCTTAGTAAAACAACTAGCCTAAAACGGCTTATTGTTTTACTTTGTTGTCAGAGTAATGCTAAGCTAAGCTATCCTTCTGCTAACGGTGTAGCCTTACAAGCTGCAGGCAGTTTATATTAATGCTCCTTGTGTTAGTCTGCATTCCTGGGCCCACTTCTGCTAATCTTACAACTTCACTTATTTTCTGTCCAGTTAGTGGAGGCCTCACCAACACTGCATTTTGTGTAGCGTAAATAGGAAGAAGCAAAAATAAAAAAAATAAAAACTGTGGAAGACAAAGAAAGTGTGTGGCTGAAAAACTGTCTTCATCAGATAAACAGTATCTGAAAGACGTTTATTTAGGAAAGAGAACAAATCTGCAAAAACCTGAAAAAGAATCTGAGGAGTGCACCATCCTTCAGTCAATCATCAGTTAGAAGTTCTCAGCTAATAGCTTTGGAAATCAACTAGGTGGTGCTAAAATACGATGGGTCAGTGTTATTGTCTGTATTTTTGTAGATTCTGCTAAAGGAAGGAGAACAAATAGTACATTTATGACAGACTGCTGGCAACAAGGTGCTTAAACATCCTATATAAAATGAGCTTTTTGCCAAGTTGTTATGTTTTGACTCAACAGATTCATCAGCAAGACTCTTTTTATATCTAATTGATTATTACTTCAGAGTTAAGTTGCTTGACCAAATAAAATCCATGTTTCTCCTTAAATTGAACGATAGTGATAAAAAAATTGTCAAAATCCAAACAAAGACGTATAAAATATTACAATAAAGTCCAGTCACTTGAAGGAAACATATTGTTTTTGTACCTTGTCATTTACTTTATTTAAATGCCTGCTACTGAGATATAACATAATTGCAAAAGGAATATTGTGAAAGTTGTACCGAACTGGTGTTATAGGACAGTTAATGGTGAATATTCAGTTCCTCGTATCTTGGCTCGTGTTTTATTGTCTTTATTGTATATTTTTTCTCACTCGCTCTCGTGCAAGGCAGACACATTTTCAGAGCCTCTCTCTTGTCCTCCTTCTGCTTTTTTGCTCTCTGTCTGTGTCTCAGAGCTCCTATGACACATCTTCTGAAACTAAAACTACTGTCATGGATCTGGTGAGCTGGACTTTTAACGCAATCGACAAAATCTTTTCAACAAAGCAACAAGGTCCTGGAGAGCCCTCATGCCCCGCTGAGACTCATGCGGCAGGATACGTCATGGATCCGTGAGGAGTTTGGAAGCTGATGTGTCTTTATGTTTTGTCTTTCAAGGATGCCCAAGATATTTATCTAATTGGAATCATGATAGCAGGGCTTCTCCTTTTTGGCATTGGTGGATTCCTATGTTATCGGCTATTGAGGAAGACATCAGCAGCAGTTTCGGCCATGACTAAACTGCTGAGTCTGTGTGAATGTTTGGTTCGTGCTACAAGTGCTCAAAATTAGCTGATTTACGAGATAAACCGTAAGATGGAAGTGATTTGTAAGAACCACAGGCCACCTGCGGCTTCTGGGACTCGCCAGCATGTTGGAGATGACTTTGGAGAGAGCTCATAAGCACGGACCAGTGGAACCCACTAATCTGGCCATTTTGGATGGAAAGTACCAGCAGAACTCAAGGCTGATGAGAAAAAAACAGTCTGCCTGAAAAAAAAAAAAAATGTGGCTTATCTGAATCTGACTCCCCTGGTTGGCCTCAAAAGCAGGCCTTCTTATCACATTTCTCCTGGGACATGTGCAAACTAAGGACAAGCTTTGTCTATCATGACCCCTCATGAGAACTTCTGTGGAGGTTTAGCAGAACTGTACCGGCTGACACCAACATCTTATCAGGACTATGGTCTATCTGGAAGCGCTTCATGGACAGACCTCACCATCTTGCCATCAAATGCATATGTAATGTGTTTATAAATGTGCTGCTGGTAGAGTTTTTTGATGTCTCAAATCGTGTCCTGATAGGACAAGATGTGAAGAGATCTTTTTTGTAATACCACTATCCTATCCTCATGGCCTTTTCCATCTAAAAATAAAAAAAGGGTCTGCACTCCAGTGGCAGCAGCAACGTGCACTCCGCCCATCTTTCGGATGACTGTACGAACATAATCTCACTGTATTTCTGCACAATGATAATAACGCTTATTCTGATTATAGGATTAAATCAATGTTTCAAACATTTTATAACGTTGTGCAAGAAAAGGTAAGAAACTCTGTCAAATTTAAAAACCAGTAAAGCTACTAAGTTTACATTATTGATATAATATAATCAGTTTTCCCTTTTTTAAAAATACTTTGGCAATTCAGTAGGTATTTTATTATTATTTATTAACCTTTATGTAACCAGGCAAATCCCATTGAGATCACTGATCTCTTATGCAAGGGAGACCTGGGCCCGAAGGCAGTCTAACATGCATGTTTTTGTACTGTGGGAGGAAACCGGGGTACCCGGAGGAAATCCACGCTAATACAAGAAGAACATGCAAACTCCACACAGAAAGACCCCAGGTCCAACCGGGGATTGAACCCAGGACGTTCTTGCTGTGAGGCAACAGCGTTAACCACTGAGCCATCGTGCTGCCAAATATAATGTCTTTATATATGTATAATGTCTTTAATGTTTTAAACCCTACAATAAATATTGTCTGATGAACAATAGGTTGATCATTTCACAACACATGTCATGTTTCTCTCCAGTACCATACAAGTTGGCATAAAACAGGAAGCGTATCAGCTTGCAGACGGGTTCGCTGAAGGGCCAGTCGTTCTCATCGGCGTAGTAGTAGATGAGGAAGGGCAGAGTGAAGATGTAGAGCGTGTCGCACATGGTCAGGTTGAACATGTAGACGGTGGAGGGCCTCCAGTGCTTTGTCCGGAACACGATCACATAGAGCGCCGTGGCGTTCAGCGCCAGGCCGATCACAAAGACCAGGGTGTAGCTGACGGGGAGGAGGATGTATTTAAAATCTTCGTTAAATTTACAAAAAGAGCTGGAGTTGGTGTAGTTGGTCATGTTGATGCCAGAAAAAGCCATGCGGTCGCAAGAACACCTAGGAAAAAAAGATAAAAACAGGACTAAGTGATAGAATATGTAGTAAAATAATCCATGCTCAATAATCCAGGTATACAATCCTACATTTTTCAGTCAGGTCATCTGGACAGTTTCTTTTTTTGTGCTGAAACGTTTCACCTTCCATCCAAAAGGCTTCATCAATCTAGGAAACACACAACACAAAACTGATTCTTCCCCCAACGGCTTACTCCAAAGTGGAACAAACCAGTTATGTTGGTGCTAAGATGGTCTCTTTGTCACGCCCCCTCCTCCATTGCCGGCCCTCTTCCTTGTTGACAGTTGTGTCAAACTCGTTGAACACAACAAAGTCCATGCTCAATAATCCAGGTATACAATCCAACATTTTTCAGTCAGGTCATCTGGACAGTTTCTTTTTTTTTGTGCTGAAACGTTTCACCTTTGATCCACCAGCTTCATCAGCGAGCAGGTCGCCCCAGTTCAAATCCAGGCTGGGGCCTTTCTGGGTGGAGTTTGCATGTTCTCTCTGTGCTGTGTGGGTGACCCCCGCAACCCAAAAAAGAAGAAGCAGGTGAAGATAATGGATGGATAGATTTATAGCCACTTTTGTGTTTGCTTGGTTTAATCAGCTGTGGAGGCCATCTTGGATCAGTTTGACACCAAAAGCTAATTTGTACACACGTCCAATGATAACACATTCTGTCCACTGGTTCACGAGATATTTTACTACTTCTCAAGCAAACTTTTAAGTCATGGTGTTTTCAGAGTCATCAATGAAATGTGACAAATAATGTAAAAGATCCATCCATCCATTATTCTCTCCACCTTTCCTTTCCAGGTTGCGGGGAGCTGTTGTCTATCTGCAGCAGCCACTGTGTAAGAGGCAGGTGTGTATCGTTGCAAGTCCATCACAGGGACACATGGAGTCAGACAATCATTGACACCGTCACCCACAGAATTTAGAGTTAACATGCACGTTTTTCATCTGTGGGAACTGGGAAGACACCATTGTACCAAGAGAAAACCCATGTGTGCACAGGGGAGAGCATACAACTCCACCCAGAAAGGCCCCATGCCGGGAGGCGATCCTGTAACCTTGCTGAGAGGTGACAGCTTTGACCACTACACCACCCTTAAGAGCACTACTTGTTGTTTTTACTCCAGCTCTTTTCTTTTGCAGGGGTCGCCACAGCAAGCAAACTCCCATGAAAGATTTGGCAACTGTTTTTTCTGGATGCCCTTCCTGACGAACTCTAAGCTGCAGCCTCAGGAGTACAAGACCATGGCACTGACCGCCAAGCTACAGTGCCTCCCACCCCACCCCCAGAACAGCACCTACACTCTCACAAGTCAATTCAAAATGTATTTTTCTGGCCTAATGGGATGTGAGTGAGCATTTGTCCCAACAACTCATCTAATAACCTTCAGTTTGGTGAGTTCTCAGAAACTGATTTACACAACTTGCTTTGTTTTCACAAAATGTTCTCAACGGCCATAAGTTAGAATCAGCCCTCACCTCACACGCCACATGCCTGAGCTTTCTAAGCTCACAGCTGTAAGGAACTGAGGAATAACTTTCTAACCCAAACCAGACGTGTTTTCTGCTCCTCGCAGAACAGCATGCAGAGCGAGGAGCCGCTCAGCCTCTGTCCGTCCAGTTCAACAGACAAATCCAAGTTCAAAGCAGCCGTGCAGAAAAAAACAGGCAGAAACAGCTAAGGTGTAAATTAAAAAGCAGACTTACTAGTAGCTCATCAGAATGAACGTCAGGAAAATGAAGCTCTTTTTTGTTTCCTTTCTGATTAGATGATTTCCAAATCAAAAACAAGTCGCCTTAGCTGTTCGTGCACTCTCTCCCCATTTCTTGGCTCAAAGTTGCTGTAAATGAGCTCCAACAGATACCAGATCAGAGACAATCCGCTTCAGAAATCCCCCCACGTTCTTCTAACAGCATGGCAAGACAAGCTGAGCACTTTCTTAAAGTTCAACAAAACTTTAGATACTCCCTCAAAAGTGGCTGCACACAAAGGTGAGTAAAAGTCATAAACTCAAGGTGCTACTCACACCGTGTGGGTGTTTTCACGTTGATTCTTCTGCTGAGCGGCGTGTCCTCAGTGTTCTGTCTGAACCTTGAGCTGCTGAAGAAGCTTGAGGTGTGTGTCAGTCTGACAAGCTGCAGCTTGCTCCCCTCAGCCCTGAAGGCTCAGATAGTAGATGCTCTGTCAAATGGACATTTATTAAAGAAAGAAAGAAAGAAAAGAAACAGATGCCTGGTTTTACATTATGAAACTGGTTCAAGCTGTAAGATGCAGGAAGGCCCACAGTTCACGTCTGCGACACACTGCACGTCAATCAGCATGTAAGGTTTGTTGTGCAAACCTAATAAAAATTGAACTAACAGCTAAAAAAAAACATCCATGAGCCCTGTCCTAAGACCGAACTAAAGACACACAGTATCATCCTTATAACTGCATTACAGTATTCAAATAAATATATGAATATTTAGAGTGAAAAACAGGTAATTTAAACATCTGATCACAAGTTCATATTTTTAGCTGAATCTCAACATGTTAGATCAAGTTAGGGGTTTAGAGCACTGGAAAAAAGACCAGTACAGATTAGACTGCACACCCAAGGCAATTCCAGTCAGCTTTGTTTATAGAGCACATTTAAAACTTAAGCTGTTACCAAAGTGCTTAACAATAACGCCAGTGAGAGTAAAATGAATGGAAAAAGAACACACACTAATGATAATACTGAAGAATTAATTAAAAGCATTAAAAACGTAGGAACACAGAACAAAAATACTAAATCAAAATGTACTAAATCAACTACCGTATTTTCCGGCATATAAGTCACATCAGTCAAAAAGGCATCATGAAGAAGAAAAAAACATAAATAAGTCACGTTTATTATGCATCACTTCTGACCCCCGGGAAACCTGGGCCGCTGTTGTGCCAAAAATCGTTTGGCGGCCGCGGGAGCGCACACGGGAGGACTCGCTGTTGCAGTTCTTTGAAATTTAACAAGATTAACACTTATAAACAATTATTTGTTTGCTTGACATTATAGCAAAGGTGTGTCTCAGTTTAACTTTTCCTTAATAAA